GGGGGGGGGGGGGGGGGGGGGGGGGGGGGGGGGGGGGGGGGGGGGGGGGGGGGGGGGGGGGGGGAGGAGGGCAGAGAGAAAGACACGCGGGCGGCCGCCAACCAGCCTGCCTCCCGAGCATGATGTGGCCAGAGGGCGGGATCGTCCGCAGTCTGCTCGCCACCCTTTTCCTAGTCTTCTAGAATGCCCAACTTGCACGCTGTATAACCGTCATTTCGTGGCTTTGTTTGAGCCTCATCCCGCGCTCGGGGGGGGGGGGGGGAGCCAAAGGCGCAGGGAGACGAGGCGCGAGTCGGGGGGTGCCGGGTACGGGGTGGGAGGTGCGGGGGATGCGCGCGGCGGCGTCCATGTTCACCCTCGGGCGGCCGGTGTCCCCCTCCCCGGAGGGCACACAGGGACCGGCGCAGGTGTCGCGGCCGAATTCTGGCGTCCCATGAGCGGGAGAGCATGGTGGCGGTTTCAGATTCGGGCCTCCGGGTGGGGGGAGGTGTCCTCTTGGGCCGGCCCCCCGCCGGCCGCATCCCGCCTCTGGGTGCGCACAGACGGCAGCCCCCTCCTCCCTCCCCCCCCCCCCCCCCTCCCCTCTCGCCCTTCTTCTGCACAGCACTCCCCTTGCCTTCCGCCCTCGTCGCCCCTCGCTCTTCATTTGGGCCGTTTCCTGTTAGACCCGCCCCGCGCCCCTCTTCCCGGGCTTCACTTCTTCGCCATGGTACGGTCGTCCGCGTGTGGGCTCTCTCTCTCTCTCTCTTGCCGCGTCCTCCTCTGCCCCCCTCGGTTTGTGTCTCTCGGATTCTCCCTCCCTTCCTAACCATGCCTCCCCCCTCCTCGCGGTCTTCACAGAGCCGCATCTACGTTGGCGGGCTGTCCTCCGACACCCAGGAGAACGATCTCCGCAGCCAGTTCGACAAGGTGCCCCCGCCCCCCCTCCTCTCTCTCTCTCTCTCTCTCTCTCTTTTCTTTGCCCTCTTCTTACCGCCCCGTTCGCTTGGCCGCTCGCTCGCTTCATGCTTACCGTGCCCTGGCCTCTGTCTCCCTTTGCCAACTCACGCCTGATGCCCACTTCATCGATGACACACGCGCAGTTCGGCGCCATCAACGACATTCGCCTGGTGTCCAACAACCGCTCCACCTTCTGCTTCATCGACTACAACAGCCCGTCCGAGTCCGAGGAGGCCGTCCGCCAGATGAACCGGTTCGTGACTCCTCCCTCCTCGTCCTCCTCCACTCGGCCCCCGCCGTCTGCTCTCGGCCCTATCGGCTCCCCCTTTTTGCTCTCGGCCCGGTCTGGTCCTCCCTCTTGCGCTCTTCCCCGCCCTGACCTTTGCCCACAGCCAGAACTTCCTCGGCTCCTTCATCCGCGTGGAGGTCTCGCACTCCAAGGAGGGCAGCCGCGGTGCTCGCACCACCCCCGGCATCCGCCACAGCGACTTCCGCATCATCATTGAGAACATCTCGCCGGCTGTCAGCTGGCAGGATCTGAAGGTACGCATGCCTGCGTGTCCTTCCCTTGCGCTCTCTCCTGTGGCGTCCTACGACCCTCTCAATGTTGCCTTCTTCTTTTTCTTCCCCTCCTCCTCCTCCTGCTCCTCCTGCTCCGCCTTTCCTCGCTCCTCCCTCCCTGCCTTCGCGGGTCGTCTGACATTCTTGCCATGTGCCCCTCTTGTGCTCGCAGGACCACTTCCGCCCGATCGGTGAGGTCCTCTTCGCTGATGTCGTTGGCGGCGAGGGCTTCGTCGAGTTCGAGACCGAGGACGACATGGATCGCGCCGTACGTGCCTCGATTGCCTTGTTCCTCTCTGTTGGCCGCCCTTTTGTCCGCCTCTCCCCCCTCCCCTCTCGCTCCTTCATTTCCTGCCTCCCTGTAGCCGGCTCTGCTTGCCCCCCTCCCCCGCCCTCTCCGCCCTCTCCGCCCTCTCCGCCCTCTCCGCCCTCTCCGCCCTCTCCGCCCGCTTGCTCGCAGCCCGCCGGCGCCAGGACGGACCAGGAGATGTGCGCTCCCTTGCGCGGGGCCCGCCCCCTCCCCCTTCCCCCCTTGACTGACTGTTCTCTTCCGGCGACAGATCCGTGAGTTCGACAACACCCCGATCAAGGACCAGGTGGTGACCATCAAGCGCGACACCGTGCCGCGCAACTTCGGCCCGCCGGTCCGCCGCCGTGAGTCCGGCCCCCGCCGTGGTGGCGGCCCGCGTCGTGATTACGACCGCGAGTATGACCGGGGCTATGACCGTGACCGTGACTACGATCGCCGCGACCGTGACTACGGCCGTGACTATGATCGCTACCGCGACCGCGACTACGATCGCGACCGCGACTACGATCGCGACCGCGACTATGACCGCTACCGCGACCGTGACTATGACCGCCACCGCGATCGCGATTACGACCGCCACCGCGATTACGACCGCCGCGACCGCGACTACGGCCGCGACCGCGACTACGATCGCGACTACGATCGCGACTATGATCGCCGCTCTCGCAGCGGCCGCAGCCGTAGCCGCAGCCGCTCGCCCATTGCCTCGCGCGGGCGCTCTCCCTCTCCCGGCCCGGCCCGTGGGCGCTCCCCCTCGCCTGGTGGCTACTCGCGCCCGGCGGCCGACAACAGCCCCAAGGACTAAGGGGCGCCCAGGCCATGTGGGGTGAGGCGCCGCGTGTCTGTGTTCCAGCCCCTCCTTTTCGCCTGTCCTCCTTTGTCCGTGTGTGTGTGTGTGTTCCTTTTCGTCTTTTTTTTGCAACACACGCAGTGTCTCGCCTCGATCTGCCTGCTTTCCCTCTCCCCCCTCCCCCGCTCTCCTCCACCCTTTCTTGGATGTGGGTGACGACGGTTATATTGTGCAGGGGGGCGGGGGCGGAGCGGGGAGAGAGAGAGAGAGAGAGGCAGCGCGTGCCTCCCCCCTCCTTCTGTTGTGGTGCCGCATGCGGCCGCACGTCGCCGTGCGCGTGCTCCTGGTCGACTGGAAAGAGGACGAGCAAGAGCCAGCTTTGCGTGTCCGTGCGCGCATCGCCCCATTCCCCCCCCCCCCTCCCTCCCACTTCCCCATCTCCATTCGACTCTCCCCTCCCCCCCCCTGTCCTTCTCCTTTTGGTGTGACTCCCCTTACAATACTCATTGAATTCCTCGGATAATGAAAGATCGCACGCATGGAGATACGGGCCTGCGTCGTGCTGCGGACACACGCGTAGTTCGCCCCTTTCCCCCTTCGGCAGGTCGCTTTGGTGGTTGACGCGGTCACTTTCGGCTTGGATTTCTCTCTCTCTCTCTCTCCTCTTTCCTCGGGGCAGGCGCATGCTCCCTCCGCCATTCTCTTGGGACGCTGTGCTGCTGGTGGCAGGGGGAGGTCTCCCCGCGCATGGTTTTTGGACGCAGGTTTGCCCCTCGTAGATGTTTTCTTCTCTTGCCGCGCGCGCGTGTGTGTGTGTGTGTATGTGTGTGTGTGTGTGTGTGTGTGTGTGTGTGTGTGTGTGTCGGTGTCTGTATGTGTGCGGGCGGGCGGCGGGCGGTGTGTGGGGGTATGTGTGCGCTCAGGCAAGACCTCGCCTCGGGCCTCTGTGGGGCTTTTTCTTGGCTCCTTCCTTCCCTCCCTGAAAGAAAGGACAAAGGAGGGGGTGACACTCTGCGCTGGGATTCCTTAGAGGGCAGAGAGAGGGGATGGCATCGCGACATGTCCTCCCCTGTGGGTGGGTGTGGGTGTGCATGCCCCCCCC